ACATGTTTGAGTCGGCCCCTTTTTCCCTTTTTGGCGGGTCAGTCGGGTGAGGGCAAACAAACAATATTTTTATTATGACCATAAGCCCGGCGCACACGTGGCAATTTTAATCGCCATGTGTGCGCCTCGTATTGTCAAAAAGACACGGGCGTTCCTGCCACATTTCTGGTCATCCTCCTGCTTTTTTTCCAACACCAAGGGCGCTGCCATATTTGATCACGTGCTTCAAATCATGCGTTTGATTAGTTAATCCAAAAACTGTTGCCTGCACACGCGACGATTGTTCAGCGACTCGGCAACAAATATCAAACATGTTTGATATTCCAGCGACGAGTTTCTGGCGTCAAAATCGCCATCGCCATGCAGCGCACACGTGGCAATCTCTCTGCGATTCTGTCGCCGGCAACACAATCGCCAGTACTAGCGATAAAAATCGGCACGTGTGCGCCGGGCTTTACCTTCTGCTGTATCTTCTTCTGGAGTTCCTCCATGTTAGCCTGCTGGGCTGCACTCAGTGCGGACAGCCTCTGCTCACGGTCCCTGTAGCAACACACAGCGAAGCATCAACGTCACGCCATGACGATGGATCAACGCGTCATGACGCGGCTCGTCATGTCATGACGCGGTTCGTCAGGTCATGACGCGGCTCGTCATGTCATGACACGGCTCGTCATGTCATGACGCGGCTCGTCATGTCATGACGCGGCTCGTCATGTCATGATGCGGCTCATCATGCCATGACGCGGCTCATCATGCCATGACGCAGTGCATCATGCTAGCGCATCATGCTAGCGCATCATGCTATGATGCAGCGCATCATGCTATGACGTCGCTCATCATGCCGTGACCCGGCTCATCATGCCATGATACGGCTCATCATGCCATGATACGGCTCATCATGCCATGATACGGCTCATCATGCCATGATGCCACGGCATAGGTCATCTGATCATGTAACGATGGCTCGCAGCACAGTATAGCACAGCATGTCACGTCACATCTTCAACACGCACTCAACTTTACACACAAACCACGAGCATTTCTGTTAATGTTAACGATAACGCACGCGCCTCCCTCGCCCACGCGCGCCGTGGCATCCCTCCACCAACCACCTCCCCCTGCTGCCGCAGCCTACCTAGCCTTCTCCCTCGCCGCGCCGTGGCATCCCTCCACCAACCACCTCCCCCTGCCGCCGCAGCCTACCTAGCCTTCTCCCTCGCCGCGTCCTGTCTCTCCTTCTCCTTCTCCTGCTGCTGCTGCTCAATCTTAGCATGCCTCAGCTTCCTTCTCTCCTGCATCTCGTGCAGGCGTGCCGTCCTCTCCGCCTCTATCATACGCCTCCTCTCCTGAAACGACAGACGACAGGCCGCTGATGTGGGAGCGGGTGTATTCAGAGCAGCGCTACAGACACTTACTACAGCCTGTAGCGTTTAATTCTGCTAAGTCTGTTTAGCGTTTTATTTCACCCCGTCTTTCGGCTTTTTTTGCCAAAAATTCTCACAACACGACCTGGCATTTTTTAAGCAAAAATTGGACTCCTGACTTTTTTCGTCAAATTTCAGGTTAATGGCTACAAGCAGCGTTACAAGTATATAAGCAGCGAATAGGTTTATCATAAACAACACGATTGGTAGAGCATCATGTGATCAGAAGAAGGGAATAAATCCACAATAATAGAGCATGTAGAGAAAGAGAGAGAGAGAGAAGGAGAGAGAGAGAGAGAGAGAGTCTCTCAGTCTGCTACTCAACACATGCCAACATTTAAATATAAGACTTTGCAAAGTTTTTTAGAAGATTTTACGTGATTATATATCAAATTTCGATTGAACTTGATCATGAACTGCTTCATTATTTCAACACGGCTCCCTCTGCTACAACAGTAGTGTTCTATATAGTTGGATATATACACTGGACTGTGGCGACTGCAGTGTTGATCAGAGAGTGAAGGCACGGAGTGAAGGCAGTTAGGCCACAATTATAAAAATCTTTGTTTGCCCTCACCCGACCCAGGCTGAAAGGTTTGGGTGGGTAAATAGACCCTTTTTTAATGGGTCTTTTTACAAATTCAGCATGGTGTCTACATGCTCGGGTGTGCTTGTGTGGAGATACCTTTTCTGTTGAATGCTTGTTTTGCTTGGTACATATAATGTATTGCCTACAGATTTATATAATGTACAGTGATACAATTTGTAAAAAAAAAGAATGGGAAAGATCAATAAACATGTTTGAGTCGGCCCCTTTTTCCCTTTTTGGCGGGTCAGTCGGGTGAGGGCAAAGAAACAATATTTTTATTATGACCTTAAGCCCGGCGCACACGTGGCAATTTTAATCGCTATGTGTGCGCCTCGTATTGTCAAAAAGACACGGGCGTTCCTGCCACATTTCTGGTCATCCTCCTGCTTTTTTTCCAACACCAAGGGCGCTGCCATATTTGATCACGTGCTTCAAATCATGCGTTTGATTAGTTAATCCAAAAACTGTTGCCTGCACACGCGACGATTGTTCAGCGACTCGGCAACAAATATCAAACATGTTTGATATTCCAGCGACGAGTTTCTGGCGTCAAAATCGCCATCGCCATGCAGCGCACACGTGGCAATCTCTCTGCGATTCTGTCGCCGGCAACACAATCGCCAGTACTAGCGATAAAAATCGGCACGTGTGCGCCGGGCTTTACCTTCTGCTGTATCTTCTTCTGGAGTTCCTCCATGTTAGCCTGCTGGGCTGCACTCAGTGCGGACAGCCTCTGCTCACGGTCCCTGTAGCAACACACAGCGAAGCATCAACGTCACGCCATGACGATGGATCAACGCGTCATGACGCGGCTCGTCATGTCATGACGCGGTTCGTCAGGTCATGACGCGGCTCGTCATGTCATGACACGGCTCGTCATGTCATGACGCGGCTCTGTCATGACGCGGCTCGTCATGTCATGACGCGGTTCGTCAGGTCATGACGCGGCTCGTCATGTCATGACACGGCTCGTCATGTCATGACGCGGCTCGTCATGTCATGACGCGGCTCGTCATGTCATGATGCGGCTCATCATGCCATGACGCGGCTCATCATGCCATGACGCAGTGCATCATGCTAGCGCATCATGCTAGCGCATCATGCTATGATGCAGCGCATCATGCTATGACGTCGCTCATCATGCCGTGACCCGGCTCATCATGCCATGATACGGCTCATCATGCCATGATACGGCTCATCATGCCATGATACGGCTCATCATGCCATGATGCCACGGCATAGGTCATCTGATCATGTAACGATGGCTCGCAGCACAGTATAGCACAGCATGTCACGTCACATCTTCAACACGCACTCAACTTTACACACAAACCACGAGCATTTCTGTTAATGTTAACGATAACGCACGCGCCTCCCTCGCCCACGCGCGCCGTGGCATCCCTCCACCAACCACCTCCCCCTGCTGCCACAGCCTACCTAGCCTTCTCCCTCGCCGCGCCGTGGCATCCCTCCACCAACCACCTCCCCCTGCTGCCACAGCCTACCTAGCCTTCTCCCTCGCCGCGCCGTGGCATCCCTCCACCAACCACCTCCCCCTGCTGCCACAGCCTACCTAGCCTTCTCCCTCGCCGCGCCGTGGCATCCCTCCACCAACCACCTCCCCCTGCTGCCACAGCCTACCTAGCCTTCTCCCTCGCCGCGCCGTGGCATCCCTCCACCAACCACCTCCCCCTGCTGCCACAGCCTACCTAGCCATCTCCC